CCGGGCAGTGTGTAATGACTCACTGTCGGCTTCCCGATTCGGGAAGCTGGCCAATCAGAAAGCCAGGCGCTGTGTAATAACGCGGCGCCCGGCTTTCTGATTGGCTGGCACCTCATGATGGGGGGAGCATGGAGCCGGCTTCCCAGCCAATCAGGAACCAGGCGCCACGTAATTACACGGCGCCCAGCTTTCTGATTGGCCAGAAAGCTGGCTCCATGTTTTCTCATCACCTAGTGACAATAAGCATGGAGATGACATTCCCTGCAAATCAGGAAGCCAGGTGGCGAGTTATTACACGCCGCCTGGCTGCCTTAATGGGACTTCCACTATCGGTAACGGCGAGTACCGAAAAAAAATATATATCGGTATACTGAAAAACCGGTATCGGTGCACCCCTAATTTCCAACCCTTTCACATTCTATCCAAAACTTTAAAAAAAAGTTGAAAAGTATTTTCAGGGCCCATGCACACTTGCGGTGTGTTAATGTGCATTGATTATGAAATATCTGCTAACACAACAGATAAAAAAATGCATGGACCCTTTGTTCATGGCAAGGCAGAGCAAGAAGAGGCTGTGGAGGCTGGTCTAGCGGCAGAGCAGCATTTTCGCCTCCTAGACAAATTGAGCTGTTAACCCTTGCAGTCTGGGGGTAGCCCCATTGTAAGGATTAATTTTTTAAAACGCTGGAGTTCCTCTTTAACCACTTCCCGTCTGCTGAACGTTGAAAAAAGGCCGGACGGGAGTCTTCTGGATGCAGGTGGGCCCATGAGCGGGAAACCGCCAGATTTTTAAACAGCCAGCGATGGCTGCTTACATACAAGCGGTCTGGCCTCTGTAAAAACACCCGATCGCTTGTATGCTGCATGTCTCTGTGGCCCCCCCCTACTTACCTCTTCTCGTGGTCGCAGTCCCCGCAATCCCGGGCGTCCGATCCGGGATGGGCGATGTGGCTTCGTGCACAGAGAACGAAGAGAGTTCAGTACATGATCTCCCTCCACTCTCTGAATGCAGGAAGTGATGTATATTACATCACTTCCGCATTCCTCTGTCACTCTCTGGTACAGGAACTGAAGAGAAGCTGATGAAACAGGTCTCTGGGGGTCCCTAGGTGACATTAGGGGTCTTAGAGACCCCTGATGTCTCCATAAAGGGGACCTGTCACTGTAATTTGATATCACATAGGGGGATTCTTATTCCCCTATGTGAAACCAATAAAGTTAAGTGTAAAAAAAAAAAGTAACAAAAAAAATTGGTCACAATATAAATAAAAGTTACACAAAAAACAAAACCCACAAAAATGTTTAAAGTCCTCCACCCCCACATAGATGCGCAAAAATGCATTAGGTGCACCTACACGCAAAAACGACGATTGCGCCAATTACGCAGCACATGTTACATATCGCCACCAACGTTGCAGTGAGAGCAATAATTCTAGGGCCATCAATCACTGATAACACTAAACTGATGAGCGGTAAAATCTTTTAAATCGTCGCCTATGGTCAATTTTGGCTATAGTAGTATTTCGCGATTTCTCGGGGGCGTGCGCAATTTTAAGGCTTGATACGTTTGGTGTCTATTTACCCGTCGTGACCCCGTCTTTTATATTTTACCAAAAAATTGGGTAATAATAAATGTTTAATAACATAATGTAGGGAAAATAGTTTATTTTTTTATATTCTGTACTTTTTTAGTTATATATTAAAAAATAAAACCCCCAGTGCTGATTAAATACCACCAAAAGAAAGATCTGTGTCCCCGAAAAATTGTATAAAATGAATTTCAGTACAGCGTTGTATGACGGAATAAACGTCAGTCAAAGTACTTCAGCACTCAATACTGAAAAATGGCCGGGACAGGAAGGGGGTGTAACACCGCGGTCATCAAGCAGTTAAGTGGCTGATTTATAAATGTTCCGCCAGGCATATAGCTGGCTGATTGCCATTAGTACAGTGTTAGTGCCACTAGATGGCGCTAAGGAGTATAGGAAATTCCAGCTTTAATCAGCGCCATCTGCTGGCACAAGCTATGTATGACCAGCACCCACCCAGGCTATGTACTGGAGAGAACATTTACTGTATACATCAGCCTGTGATCAGTAGACACAATTTGTAATACTATTTCTATGTTTTTATTGCTTGTTTCTCCCTTTTACAGAATCCGGAACCAAAACTAAACTGAACATTCGGCTTTTTCACATATATCTACACCCATTATCCTCCTGTAGCGATAAAGGGACCTGAACGTGTTATAAATAATCACAGAGGACGCCAGGATCTTCTCCATCTTTATCAGAGGAGGAACCCTACATTGCTACATCTTTTCTGCTCAGCGACACATGGTTACAGCCGGTCAGTCCCCCGGAATTGTATCGGGTGGTGTCACTCTGTGATTTCCTTCTATTACAGGGGTGGGAAACCTCGGCACTCCAAATCCCATGAGGCATTGCAAGACTCTGACAGCCACAGGCATGACTCCCCAAGGCAGAGGTATGATGGGATTTGTCATTTCAACATAGCCAGGGCCGGATTTCCCGCAAGGCCACTGAGGCCTGGCCACGGGGCGACAGGGGTGTGGTATCTCCCTACGCTCAGGACATGTAGTTGTTTTCTACATTTAGTCCTGCTTTGGGCCAGCAGGGCTAACTGTACAGCGGGGAGCAGCTCCGTCGCTTACAAGTGATCTCAGTGATGTCCCCGAGATCACTCGTACCGCTTCCCCGCCTTTTGGCTAAGATCAAGTCTAGTATCTGTCCTTATCAGTTTCCGGTGGGGAAAAGAACCGTCCTGACGAGGGAATGGTTACTTAGTCCTCACTGGAGTGAAGGTGGGTGTTTGAGGCGGCTCCTCTTTGAGAGGGGGGGGGGTTCCTCGGCACTTATGATACTGATGGGGATGGGTGCTTGCTCTGTCAAGAGGGTTCGGGAGGGGCAGACAGGGCCGGTGCTGCCACTAGGCAGCCGCCTAGGGCGCACTGCTGCCAAAGGTACAGCCTCGAACACTCACCCCCTCCACGGCGCCCCTCGTCTATGTCAAAAGCCAATAGCAGGCTGGCTATTGTACCCGCCCACTGAGCAGAATTGAGAGACGACTTTCTCTCTCTCAAGTCCGCTCAGTGGGGGGGTTTCAATAGCAAGCCTGCTATTGCCTATTTCAAAAATAGCCAATAGCAGTCTAGATATTGCACAAAGTAGCCTAGCACCAGCCCTGGGCGCAGAGGCCCGCAGTGCTGTGTCCCACACTTAGGTGTGGGACCCCACAAGTGACTCACCTGCACTAGGTCACGGCCCCAAAAGCATTTTCTGCAGCACGTCTCTTGGGCAAGCCTTCTGGCTAACCCGGGCAATTTTTATACCTTGGCCGGAAAGGCCTGCCAGGTTTGTGCACCGGCACTTATTTACGCACACTTTTACGCACGACTGCACGTTTTTTGCCTCCAGATGACGGAGGGTGCAGGTACATTCGGGTGCCCGTCCTGATGTTAGGGGGGGAGGTTCTACGGTCTACACATGGGCTTCTCTGCCTTCCCCCACTTGGGGGGTCTCCCTTACCTAGTACTTGAGGGTCCTGTTTCAACAGAACCGAGGATCTGGGTCTGCCGGCCTTCAGGTAGGTGGACCCAAGTCTTCCTTGCCCCTGTCAGAAGCCTTGCGCCCCAGGAGGGGTTAGGGATTATTGAGGCCCTTCCTCTTCAGGAGGAGGACCACAGCACCCTCGTGCACTTTTTTTGTGGGTTGTGATTTCACGATTCACATTTTTTGTTCACATGGAAGTCGTATTTGATGCACACACCGCGGACTTAAAAAAAAACACTTGTATGCAGCCTGCAGGTCCGTCCTCCCCCCACCAGCTACCTATCCCTGCAGGCCGGAGATCCTCTCTTCAGGATGGAGAGCGGGGAGCAGAGCGGAGAATGTCCGTTCTATGTAAACAGTGAGAGGGGAGAGCTGCACCCCCAGCCTTCCCCTCTCAGCTGTCACAGTGTAGCCAGCACAATGCTGCGCTAGAACTCCTGTATTGGAGGTGACAGGTTCAATAAAGAGAACCTGTCACCACCAAATACTATCACACAGGGGCTTGTTAGCTGCTGTGTGATAGCAATTAGACATGTGCACCGGCAAAAAAATTATTTTCGTTTTGATTCAGATTTTGTGATATTTCGTTTTTCGGGTCCGAAAGTCAATTCGTTTCGGGATTCGGACGAAATTCATTAGCGGTAGTCCCTATGAATTTTCGTTTCAGTAAAGTGACATTAAAAAAAAAAATTTTAATGTCACTTTGCTGCAACGAAAATTCGTCCACAAACGAAAACGCGTACAGACTACCGCTAACGAATTTCGTTTTCGGAAATTGAAAGTTTCGGAAGTTTTCACTCGTCATTTCTGTTATTCGGAGATTTCGGATACCTCCGAATAACGAAAATTCGGCCGAAAAACGAATTTTTCCAAAACGAATCGCACGTCTAATAGCAAAGGTAAGTGAAAAAAATAACATGAAAAAAAATTTGATAAGAAAAACAAATTATAAAAAATAAAGAAAAATTTAAAAATAAGAAGTTAAAAAAATATACAAATTACATTTCGGAGCAGCTTGCTTTGCAACAAAAATTAGCAATGCACCTGGTGCACGGTAACGCACGGTGTTGCATACAATAGCGTGCATGTCATTATTGCAATGCTATGGTGCAAATCGGCCTGCAAAGTGGAATTTCCTTTGAGGCCCGAAACTGTGCCTGTCAACCAATCAGCTTCCATGTTCAGATTGTTCGGTTGAGGTTTGAAAATGAAAGCTGGAAGCTGACTGGTGGCCGTGCAGCTCCACACTGTGTCTGCTCCGGTCCTGGGTGACACCGCCGACATTGTGAGCTCTCCGGGTCAGAGGCACGGAGCAGGTCAGACAATGGCAGCCTCCGCTAAGAGTATCTCTCTTCATTATGAGCGGCGGCAGGATCTGCACTGGGAGAAGTAGAGGCCACTCCCCCATCTCATCGGAGGAGGGGGGAGGGGAGGAAGTGACGATCCGTGCACAGGACGAGGCGGGCCGCGATCAGAAGCTTTGTGCATCGCTCTGACATCCAAAGAGCCATCGGAGCGCCGAGCGAGCGCCGTGTGATTGACAGGTGCGGAGAGTGCGGGTGAGTACAAATGCGGAACACCTTTCCCGCACACACACATTGATCGCACCCTTCCCCCACCCCGAGCACACTGCACCCCTCCCCCCACACCCTCTGCATGTCACCAGACACTCCTCTCCCAATTCATTTCCTAAACTCATCGCCTGCAACATTCACCGGAGGAACTCATCTCTGCAACATTCACCGGAGGAACTCATCACCTGCAACATTCACCGGAGGAACTCATCACCTGCAACATTCACCGGAGGAACTCATCACCTGCAACATTCACCGGAGGAACTCATCACCTGCAACATTCACCGGAGGAACTCATCACTGCAACATTCACCGGAGGAACTCATCACTGCAACATTCACCGGAGGAACTCATCGCCTGCAACATTCACCGGAGGAACTCATCGCCTGCAACATTCACCGGAGGAACTCATCACTGCAACATTCACCGGAGGAACTCATCACTGCAACATTCACCGGAGGAACTCATCACTGCAACATTCGCCAGAGGAACTCATCACTGCAACGTGCATCAGAGGAACTCATCGCCTGCAACATTCACCGGAGGAACTCATCACCTGCAACATTCACTGGAGCTAAAGAGGAACTCATTGCTGCAACATTCACCGGAGCTAAAGCGGAACTCATCTCTGCAACATTCACCGGAGCTAAAGAACTCATCTCTGGAACATTCACTGGAGCTAAACAAGAACTCATCTCTGCAACATTCACTGGAACTTATCTCTGCAACATTCACCAGAGCTACAGAAAACCTCATCACCTGCAACATTCACCGGAGCCTGCAACATTCACTGGAGCTACAGAGTACCTCATTACCTGCAACATTCCGGAGCTACAGAGGAGCTCATCACCTGCAACATTCACCGGAGCTAAAGAGGAGCTCATCAGCTGCAACATTCACCGGAGCTAAAGAACTTATCTCTGCAACATTCACCGGAGCTACAGAAGACCTCATCAGCTGCAACATTCACCGGAGCTATCGAGGAACTTTTTGCCTGCAACATTCACTGGAGCTACAGAGTACCTCATCACCTGCAACATTCACCGGAGCTACAGAGGACCTCATCACCTGCAACATTCACCGGAGCTACAGAGGACCTCATCACCTGCAACATTCACCGGAGCTACAGAGGACCTCATCCCCTGCAACATTCACCGGAGCTACAGAGGACCTGATCACCTGCAACATTCACCGGAGCTACAGAGGACCTGATCACCTGCAACATTCACCGGAGCTACAGAGGACCTCATCACCTGCAACATTCACCGGAGCTACAGAGGACCTCATCACCTGCAACATTCACCGGAGCTACAGAGGACCTCATCCCCTGCAACATTCACTGGAGCAAAGAATAACTAATCGCTGGCAACATTCACCGGAGCTAAAGAAGAACTAATTTCTACAACATTCACCATAGCTAAGGAGGAACTCATCACCTTCAACATTCACTGGAGCGAAAAAAAGAACTAATCACCTGCTACATTCAACGGAGCTAAGGAGGAACTCTTTGCCTGCAACATTCACCGGAGCAAAAAATAACTCATCAATGGCAACATTCACAAGCTAAAGAAAAACTCATCACCTTCAACATTCACCGGAGCTAAAGAGGAGCTCATCTCTGCAACATTCACCATAGATGAGGAGCTTATCACCTGCAACATTCACCATAGATGAGGAGGAGCTTATCACCTGCAACATTCACCGCAGCTACAGAGGACCTCATTGCCTGCAACATTCACCCGAGCTAAAGAATCATCTGCAACATTCCCCATAAATGAGGAGGAGCTTATCTCCTGCAACATTCACTGGAGCTGCAGAGGCCCTCATCACCTGCAACATTCACCATAGATGAGGAGGAGCTTATCACCTGCAACATTCACCGGTGCTAAGGAGGAACTCTACTGCCCAGCAAAACGTTTCTATGGCCCCTGGGGGCGGAGCTCTTCTGCTCTTCAGATGTCTCTGATCTCCCGTCATGTCTCTGTTTGGAGGAGATGATTTGCGGGGGAGGACATCATTCCGCTCTCATTGGCCGAGCTCACACTATACAATCTGATTGTACAACCGCCAACCACACTCCGTACATTCCACAGCTGGCGGGATCTCACTTCCTTCATCACTCTTATTTCTACAACTCGCTGTGCAGCAGAATCCGGAGCAGCACAAGGAGTCAATCAGTTATGCTGCAGTGGTCCTGTGCTAACAAGGATCATGCTGTTAGGAGGAGAGAGCAGAGAGATGAGCTCATCCGTCTGCTTCTTCTCTTTTCACTGCCCAGTCACAGGCTGGGGGATCCCCTGGATGCTATCTGCTTGTGTGCGGGGGGGGG